CAGCCATATCTTAATGTACGTAGACGGCGTTAAACTCTCTTTTTCCTTGGAATCGCACTCGTACCTCATTCAATCTTATTAGATAATTTGGTTACATGTTGCTCATTAAGTTTGATGAAATTAAATGTAAAAAAAGTACAAGATGGTTTCATTTTCAAGGAGGAATTTAATCGCTACTGAATATTTCATCGATTAATGTAAATTGGAAAATGTAAATTTGCTTAAGGACTTATCGAATCTATTTAATCAGGTGCTACGTTTTAATGTGCACTTTGAGTATTCGATAAATAAATCTAAAACGTTTCCTGCGATGCTTGGACAATTGGAGTTTATTCGTTGTATCAGTAAAAGAATAAGAATCCGTAACTACACTGTACACAAAATCTAATTTAATTTACTTAAATATCATGTAGAGATAGGATACACAATGAGTAAGATGCTATAAAGTAATATAAATTTCGTTTTTATAATCATAATATTTTAATTATATGAGTTTTATTCTTTCAACTAACATACAATATTCCTGACTATTGTCTATTTTAGTACTTACCACTGCCCGCGTTTAGTCCCCCTTTGGCTTATGGTCGTAAAAATAGATACAAGAAACTGAAATATGGTAGAGGAGGTAGACTAATAGTGCGCCAACGTTAAGTCGTATTAAGTCGTTACTCTCTTCGTTAAGAGTGCGACGGAGTTTTTCGAATGTCGATTCCAAATGGAAGACAAACTTTGCAGTTCTCAATATCCCAGCGTAATAAACTATGTTTGTTATATATGTATAGTATAGTTCACCGCACCTGCTAGTTTAAAATAGATGTTAGGTCTTGCGGTCTATTTCATTATGACTTTTAAAAATTATTCTAGAAAAACGAACGAACTTGAAAACAAGGGAAAGAAAGTAAAATATTTGCATGCAAGGGAAGCCTTAGGAAGGATTAGAAAGGATTATATATAAAAGTATTTATAAGAATCGTACAACAAAATCTTAAAAAAAATATATTTTTAAGAATTTGTTCGAAATCGCGCTGATAGTTCCTACAAAATCGTAGAAGAATCAGTATGCACCAGTAAGAAGAAGTTTTTGCGTTGCATAAGTAGTGATAAAGTGTTGTTTTGTTAAATAAAATATAATAATAAAAATTCTACCCAATTTAGGTTCGGAGCTGCTGTCATCTGTGAGTTTTGGTTTAATTGTAATGAATCTTCCTCGGCGTTATCTAGCTGACAAGGTGCGTTTACGTGACAAGAATGATTATAATGGAGGACCTATTGTGTGCCAAACTAATAAAGCCAAAAATGATATTAGAAAATACAAAAGAAATACGCACTTGGTAACTTGCAAGCAGCTGCGACTTACATTACTTCAATTTGAGTTGAAGGATGCTGGAGATTTAAGTGCACTTTCTCATCAATCTATTGAACACTGCTAAAAATCGTTCAAATTTAAATAACTGTTACATGCTGTTCTCCTTTCGTAGAATAAACCGGATTGAATTCCCACCGGCGTTTGATAAAATCTTATCTAATATGCAAGGAGTGGATGGCTTCTCTTTTAGGTTCGTGAAATTAATTTGACTCTGGATTGATGCTCACACATTGTTGCTATTGACCGCATTATTAATAAGTCTAAGTATTATTCCAATTGCTTGTTCTCTCGAAGATCTTTGAACATATAATTAAGGAGCAAGTTATGACCCATGTCGACAATAAATCCCTACTCTCCTACTCGCAGCGTGATTTTAGAAGTGGTTGCACCACTACATCTTTTTACTGATTTTTATGGACTGGTGAGTGATAAGCACATTTCGATGTTATTGTCGCTGGATTTTACTGGATGTGGAGTGTCGCATGTACTTTGATTCATTAGCTCGTGCGGGACTTTGGCTTTTCAAAGCCAGCTGCTGCTCTGATAAAGTCCTACCTCTCGGATCGTTTTTAATTTTTATCTGTGGATGATATCAAGTCTGAGCCATTAAAGATACGCAGTGGTTTGCCTCGGGGCAAACAAGATTATATACTATATTTCAAGCACTTGTATGAATATATGGAAAGAATTATCATTAAATTTTTCAAAATAGGGGAAAATCGAATGGCACGCCTATAAAAATTGTATAAAACTATGAACATACCGCTTCGAAGGGAATATATTTCTAATTATATGATTACATAATAATCTCAGTTTTCTCAGGTTTGAAGTATTCGTGAAATTATAGACTTCTAGGACTATATATATATATCTAGGACTTTAATTTTGATTTGAATTGGCATATACACATTCAAGGAATGGGTGGGAAATTGACCCGAGAGCACAGATAATTTTATGCGTGCACTCAAATAAAAATTATTACCGACAATCGCTTGCAAGCTATCTCAAGCTATTTAATTCCAAATTATCAGCACTCCCCGCAAATAAAATCTGCAAATTATTTGCCTTACAAGAAGCTAAACTGAACATATTAAATTAATCGTTCCCATACACGGTGAAGAGCAAAGGGCAACGATCAAGCCCCGAGGCAAACCACTGCGTATCTTTAATGGCTCAGACTTGATATCATCCACAGATAAAAATTACAAACGATCCGAGAGGTAGGACTTTATCGAAGCAGCAGCTGGCTTTGAAAAGCCATAGATGAGACTACGTTCTACGTTTTCTAAGTTGTTCCCTCGTTACTTTTATTAAAGATAAACGACTGTGTACTTTCGCACTATCCCACAGCAAGGGCCGAAGGAGCTTTTCAATCTCTTTTCTTTTAGTAAGTCAGTCTGCAGCAACCAATTGCTCATTTCTCGAATGCTGCTTGGCGAAATCCTTTGAAGTAAGAGTTAGAAGAGCTTGTACTTCCTTGCCTAGGAAATTACAAAAGTTTGGATGCTGTTATCTCGCTTACAAACGTAAGGCTTTTTGCCGGTTATAATGAGATTAATTAGTTACTTAATATTGGGACAAAAGTGTGGGTATGTGGTACGTGTTATTTCGTTTCCTACTAACTTAGTTATCTTCTTGTTCCTTTTTTACTCTCTTTACCTTCAATTTAATGTCCTTTTCCTTTAGGCCATTTAAGAACATTTGTATTAATACCTTATGGCATCTATGAAGACATTGCCATATATTATAATAAAATTATGTAGAAATGTGAAAAGATAAATGTTTGATTGCAATATACGCTAAAGCTCCCTCCGGTCTATGCCCTCGTTATATTCCTTTTTAAACTTGACTCTTTGATTTCTTGTGCACAAGCGCATACTACGGAGTGAATTTACATACAACCACATTAAAGACTTTCAAAGCATATGAAAGTACTTTTTCATGTCCCCTCAGCCCTTTCTACATATATACAGTTAGCCTAACTTGCTTTCGGGCTTCGAAAATACATTAAAAGCAATATTAACAAATTGCTTGACATCTTTGTCGATATATAAGGATCAATAGTGTGATAACATTCTGAAGCAACCGCTCAAAAACCATTTGTATTGAAATAATACTTTCTTTATATTTAATAAAGTAGTGAAAGTTGTATAAATCGGCAGATTGTTCAAATAATTTCTAGTTTATTTCTCATTTGTTTTTTATTTTTGCTTTATATTCATCTTTTAAAACTAAGAATTTTTATTTATGTTCACATATATAATTTTTTAAATTTTCTGTTTATATGTATGTATATATATAATTAAAATTAAGAATTATATGCTTTCATTTATTTATTAATAATATAATTATAAGATAATATTCAAGTATGTTATCCATTTTCAGTTGTGAATTGTTTGTGGAAAGAAAAAAAGAAACATAATAATAATAATAATAATAAAACGTTAAAAAGTGAAAAAATCAATGGACAAAGAAAGAGAAATAAAATTAAATACAATTAGTTTATAGTTCTGTCAGTAATTAATAAGAGCTCATAAAATGTGTGTGTGTGTGTGTGCATGTAGTATTTATGATATTTGTCGTCTGTTCATTTCATAATATTAAATTCTATGGGAACGATTTATAGAATATTATCCTTTATTCTAATTATAAATAACAGAATGATGCAATGCATGTAAAACTAAGTCAACTCAATTGCAGTTAAAATGTTAGAATGCATTAGTATATGTGTATTTATATTGAATATGCGGAAAAGAAGAAGAAGAAGAAAATTGCATTTAAAATGAAAGTTGATAAAACAATTATAAAAAATAGTATCTCTCTCTCTCTACTACTCAGTGTAAAGCAATGAGAAATTAAAACATTCCTTGGTTAAGGTGCTATTGGTTTGTTATTGATGTGTATTATGAGATTTGTTATGGCTGCTGTTACCGGAGAGCTAATCACAAATAACTGCATATCAGAGTTTTGTTCTTTTTTTTGTTGTTTTTATTATTGTTTACGTTTTCGGTTTTTCGGGATAGATTTTCAGAGCTCCTTTCGTTTCTCTTCAATAATATTTCATTATTGGTTTCTGTTTTTTTTTTTCTTGTCTCGTAAATGTATTCTCGTATGTACAACAGTTTTACTATTTTCTAATAAATTTCTTATGAAGTTTCTTTGAAATTGCGTAATTATTTGTTGCTATTGTTGTCATATCTCTAGCCAAAGGGAAAGTGAAAAGTAAAAGAATAGAAGAACAGTTACATGTTTTAATTTTTAATGGATATAGAGTTTTTCTCTTAAAAATCTCTGGTTTAATTGCGAGTGTTTTTTTTTTTTTTTTTTATTAGCGCGTAAAATGTTTATGCACAAATTATGTATAATTATGGAGCTTTTTTGCGGGATGTTTAATTTTGTTTTTATTATTGTTAAATCAGCTTAGATGACGATTATGACGTTAATGGTGATGGATTTTTTTGTTTTTTGTTTTTTTTTTTTTTTATTATTATTATTATAATTTTTTTTTATTTATTTTTTTTTTTTTGTATACGACAATTGAGAATGATTTAATAGTATCAACCTTCTCGCTTTATAGAACTGGGTGTTTCTGCAAGACCTTTCACTTTGAGACGATCCGCTGTTTTAAGGAAAGCAGGCAATTGTTCTTGCGATACGTTCACTTCGCCGGCATACATAAACTCCAGGATTGCTTGCAAATGTATATAGGACACATCTTTGAGTATAATGATCGGATGTTTAGAAGGATTTTCCTAAAAGAGACGTTAAAAAAAAAAAAAAAAAAAAAGTTAAAATCCAATATAATAAATCTTTATAACCATCGTGTAGAAAATATACAAAATTTATCAAATGCTTATGAACAATAGAAGTACCCTATGGCATATATATACAGTATTAATTACAAAGAATGGTTGGTTTATCACAGCCTGCTAAATACGCGTGTAAAAACACGTAAAATCTAATAGATATCTTTTTATTTTCGTAAGTTAAATTTAAAATAATTACATTAAATCAGTCCGTGCGTCTGGTGCGAATAGAAGGAAAATTAATAATTTTTCCTTCTTCTTTTATCGATTAAATCATCGTAAAGTTTCTAATTTTCCTACACTACTCGCGATACAAGGCACAGATACGTGTGACACCTTGAAATACTAAAGATAATCCCACATTCTTGTTGTACCGAGTAATTTAGAGGCATTTTCAGCATACCAAGCAATTTAGAAAGATTTAAGCCTATCCGTACGTCTCATGACTGCCTATTTTTCGAGTGTTCTTATAGAAGGTAAACCTTGATATCGTAGCAAATATTTTGCGGCGAAAACAGGTGGCGAATAATAACCTTTGGGGAAGAAATTTACTTTGTCAAATTTAATCTACTCCAGCTAACATTTTCGGTCCAATGTATTAGATGCTTGCAAAAATTTTGATCAGCGATATGTACAGGTAAAAATGATAAGAAATGGGAAATATCAGTCTACATAATGGTTGAGTTCAATAATTTTGACCTTCTTCTATATAAAATAATAGTTTCCCAGTTAACATTATTGATTTATTCAGCGTATGCTGTCGTTAATCATGAAGCGCTTCATACTCTTCGTCTCCATACTTTTCAAATTCATTATATTTGGTATTTATTTGAAGAAATCTACTACCGAAGCCCGTTACACGCTTTTGGAGGCTTATGGTAATACCATTTTGTAGCCACTTGTTGCAAGAGTTGTCCAAGGATACACTGTTGCAGCTTGAAAGGGAAGTTCTGCCACACTCAGCGTACTCATCAGACATGGCGCCCCTTGATTACCATTAGTTCAGATCGGTGCAGCATGGCTTGGCTGGCACGCGGGTCCGCAAAGTGATCAAAATTTTAGCAAACACCTAATACAATTTTTGGTGGTTGCTTTTTATTACGAAAACAAACCAATGGTGTAGGCTGTTCAACGACCGGCTTAGCCCGACTATTTGTTTTTCCTTAACTTTCGTCTTCTTTCAAGAAAAGTAACCAGCTAGGAATAGGGATATTAAAAAATTCAATTTCAATTCTCATTTTTCAACTATACCTCAAGTAGTGCTTTGAAGTACGGACTACAAGCAGATAGTACCATTTTGTGTGCTTTGCATGTTTGTCCTTCACAGGCCAAAGTTACCTAAAAGCCATTGGATAAAGGAAGAAAAAGATAACATTTAAAGACATGATTATAAGTTTCTTTTGCATTGTTTTACATACATCTGTGAAACTTTTTTCATCCCTTAGATGTCGAAATGACGTAACCATATTTGTCTGGAAATCGTTCCATTTTAAAAAGAACTGTTGGTCGGACGACATCATTAAAAGGCCGTTTTATTGATCCGGTTACGATGTTCGTTAATATAAACAAAAATGTTAAAGCGCGTCTGCAAGTGATAGCCGCCGAAATGCCTCTATAGAATTCTTTCCTCGCTTTCAAATGTATTGAACGCTGAGATATCAAGCAAAGCTGTTAGACCACGCTATGTTGGTATTTTTCAGCAGTGTTTATAATTCACTTTAGTTGTTAATGGATCCTTTGCGCACCGTATGATCCAAGACAGACAAAAACTTACGTTGGTGGGTTTCAAACAAGTGGTTGTCCTGGTTTTTTTTTTTTTTTTGAAAGCAAACAAACAGTAGGTTATTTTAGTAATCTTTGGCTTTACTTTGGTTAACACTCAGTGCTTTTCCTCCCTGATCCGTCAACGATTGTTTGTTCAATTGCTTCTCTCTAAAAAGGAACGACAAGTATTGTGGGAAATAGCTGCTGTTGTTGTTGCTGAAAAAATTAAAAGAAAAAAGTTTTCATTTTAATCAGGATAAATATATAAAAAAAAAAAAAAATCTTTAGCTTTGAATCGATTCTCGTTTATAAATTGGTATAATTTTGGTTTATAATTGCACATGTTCCAAAAAAGTCGAAGTCATCGATTTTGTTTAAATACATATAATGCATTTGTTAAACGATTTTAATGGGCAGCCATAGTTATCCATTTGCATATCGGTATGACTTTTCACTCAAAGGTCTAGCTGAGTAACACGGCGATGATTAAAAAAATGATAGAGAGGTGATGGGCTGTAGCATAGCGCTATTATATCTTTGCGCATGGAGTACTCACTGCAGCTAATGATCAGGGTAAAGTAATCCATAGTAAGGTTTGTATACATTTGCATTATTTTGTTGTTTTCACTATGGTCCCCCCATCCACTAATATGTGTTACAGAAAGGATAGCATTACAATTCTCCTCTCCTTTCAAGTAGAGCGTATAAAAATAAGTCTCTCGAATGGTTCCTATTTAGTACGGCTTAAAGCCCTTTTAATTAGATCGAAACGATAATAACTACTACTAGACACACATCCGCCTGAGTAGCCGAAGGCGAGGTATTTTGACTAGCAAGTCAATGATCGTGGGTTCGAATCTCAAGTGCGGTAGAGTTTTTAACAAAAGCCGATAGACTTTAGATGCTAGTGCTTTTAAGAGTTTAGTCTTAAATTTTATTTCTCTGGCGAAATTAATAATAATAATAATAATAATAATAATAATACTAGATACAGATGAGCAACATCTAAACCTGATATATTTTATTCATTAACTGTAAATATAAAGGAGTAATTTTTTGACTGTTATCTGGAACATGAAATTTTCTATAGTTTCCTTGTGGCATGAAGGGAAGTGTATCAAGCAAGTGACTAAAAAGCAACAACGCATAGAAATTGTGCCTTTGTTTTTAAGCAATTTCTTAAGCCAACACCGCACCGAAACTGGTTTGCCAGATATTTGTAAATGTAAGCAATTTGGACTAAAGTAAATAATGGAATCGAACGGGCAATTGTCAATGTGACTCAACTAAGAAACGCTTTGGAAAGAAGATTGATTATTTAAATACGTTTTAAATTCGTAGAATAACTCATAAGATGTGATCATGTTGCACCATTAGATAATCGATAATATGCACGAGTGGCAATATATATAGAATGAACAACGACTGACACTTGCATGACTTTGCTATAGAGAAATGAAAACTACACATACGCTGAACTGCGTTCTTGTTCGTTTTATTAATTGTATAACTCCCTTAGCGACTTCTAGTAAAAAGCAGGAAAAAGAAATAACAACAAACACGACTTTAAAAAAAAAAAATAGCTCTCTTGGTATAAGTCTCGAAAAAAAATGTATTTTTTTAACGACACTTGAACTCTAACTTTAATCCTTCAACGGTTTCAAGTATTTTCTTTGTCTTGTTCCCAGAAGAGCCAGAGGATATTCATTCATTTTTTATTTTATTACAACGCTTGAACGATTTTTCCGAAATATACCCAGAAAGGTCACGATATTTTGAACATAAATGTAAGACCGGCATATAAAAACTCGTGCTATAGACGCATTTCGAGCAACATCATCGAGATGTCACACAAGTCATATAGGATTTTTATATCCATCATCAAACCAAGACACGTATATTCATGCTACCAAAATATTTGCAACATTCAGAGAACAAAGTTTCGGAGTCATCCTAAGGTATATATATACTCGATCAGGATTAATCGATTGAATCGATTTACGCATGCCCTCTCATCGAACCCATTTCTAACTGCAAAAATAAAGCTATCAGCTCCAAAGTTAGCAGAAACACTAGAATGTCTTGCAACGCTGGTTGATATTTAAAACTGCTCTACCTTCAAAAGCCAAAAAATTGAGTTTTTTTTTCCCAACATTCATAAATAATAACTACGGCGGGATATGGTCCATCATCCCTACACCACTTTAGTTAATAATGTAGGACTTTGTAAAAGAAAAAAAGTCAAAAAAGTTCTCCGCTCCAAACCGGCGTTCGTTCTTGGGTCAAAACACATTGGTGTACGAAATTTCCTCAAAATATCTTAAAATAGCGAACTGTAGGTTGACCGGAAGAGATTAAGGCAGACAAACGGACAGCAAAGCTTAGATCAACTTGGAAAGTGATTTAAGTAGCGATGTCTATGTGAAGTCGTTCTGTATAGGCGAACTTATCACAAGCGGCGTGGCACATAAAAATATAGGGACGATTCTAATGTATCTGTAAAAAACTTTTGCTTAAAAAAGATGTGATGGTAGGTATAAAATATTCGGTTATAGTCGAATATAACTTTCGAACTTGTTTTGTTTACGCTATGTATTACTTAACGACGATCGTATTTCGTAAGAAAATTGATACTGGAGCGCTTTTTATAACTATCTCTGCGGAGTACGAAAATTGATACAAATTCGAAACGTTTTAACAAGAGAAAGTATTGTTGTCTGCGTTTGTTGTATCGCTAATGCCCGCTAAGTCTCTTATTAATTTCTATTTATTTACCAACTCCAGCGATCGGACTAATTTTTAAATATAACTATACCGTATGACTTAGAAGTTGTTGAATATTTATTTATTATTTTTACATTTTACATTTAGCAGCTGTGGCTATTTAAAATATTCCCTATTTTAATAGCTAATCACAAATTTCGGGCTTTCCTTTCTTCCTCCGATCAATGAACTTCTCTTAAATATGGTAGTAAAAACTTTATATCTGGCTGTAACTGAATTTTTCGTGCCCTCTACAATCTTTGGTGGGCGTTGACGATTTTCTTTTCAATGTTTATAGGATACAACGGAAAAAAAGTTATGACTAATGGACCTTTCCCACAACCAACTTTCAATAATTTAGCCAAGTTTAAAAGCCGATGTGTTTATTTTTGCGATAAGCAAATAAACAAACAGACACGCAGGCTTAGATCCATCCACACTCCGATTCTGATCAGTAATAAAATAATAGTTTATAAGGTCCGTCCCTGGCGTTTCTTTCTAGGGATTACAAACTTTTTGCAAACGAATGAGCTTTCGATACTCTATAATATTGTACGAACATGGCCGAGTTTTTCCACTTTTATGCAGTTAGGAAGAATCGTCTGTGAAATTTTTACCGCAGTATCATGCGTAACAAGCAAAAAAATATGTATTTGTTCTCGCTTTCTAAAGCTGTTCTCAGCACACACATTGCACTGTAGAGATAAGTCTTACATGCGGCTTAATCCACTTTCAACACCAAATTGCTTGCAAATGCTTCCAATATTTTTGACAAATTTGAATCCGATATTCGAATGATTAATACAGATATCACACATAAGGACATACGGACATGCTTAAATCGGCTTAAAATACGGTGTTAGTTGAGAACGTTTGCATATCATGGGTTCTCTGAAATTTCGTTCTTGTTACTTTCAATTTTCTGACAAAAAAAAAAGAAAATATTATATATCTCTCCTCATTCTTCCCTGGTGTTTACAACAACTGTAACAAGTGCTTACAGATTTCATTACTTGGCTGTTCTCTGAATATTGAAAATTTAACTTACTCAAGGCGCATATAAGTGCACTTAACTATTTTTTTACGCGCCAGAAGCACTGATTAGAAAAATGTACAAAAAAATCGTGTAAGATGAAAAAAACAACCGTGCAAAAAAAGTAATATTGAAATCCATATTACATATTTATAAAACCAAAACACTTGGACTTGTGGACTGATTTTGCAGTATTCAACATAAAAAAATTAAAATTAGGAATAAAAATCAATTTTGCAACAATTCATCGCTCTTTGGTGACAGCCATGCGCGTTCGTTACGGATTGGACCAAAAATACTATTATAAGTAGGCATGTCACAAACAACTGTCAAGCTTGATTCAGGTGAAGAATGTTGTTCATTATTAATGGCCTGTTGGCCTTTTTTTTGTCATAATGTTTGTTAATACCATCTGGGCATAAATTGCCCGACTTCAGATCACGGCATTGTCGCATAGTTTCTGCAAGGTCATTGGATTTAGAAATAAAAAAAAAAAAATTTTTTTTCCGCGCTAGAATAAAAATTTCGTGTTTGTTCGCGTTGTTTTAAAAACGAGTAAAAAAAATGCGCGCAAGAAAAGAGTTGGGTGTATATATGATCTTCTTTCCTGACGTCATAGACAAATCGTACTTTTTCCTTAAATCATAAATATAAATTGATAAGCTTTGTTTGTATCATTTCTAATATCGCTGACTGGTGTAAAATGCCAAATGTCTCTCTCTTATGTTGACGACAAATATGAAATCAGATAAACAAAAGCAACAAAAGGTTCCACAAAATATTCATGCAATCATGAATTATTGTATTTACCGATTCATTAGGGTGGTACAATAATTAATAAGAGATTAACTGGACATATAACACAATATGTAGTCTAAAAATTATTTAGCCTTAAAGTGCTTATTAATTTCCATCCATTTATGTAGTTCATATTGACAAGCATTGTCAGTTGTGATGTTAATCGAACGATCTCTAGACTTTAGTCGTTTACGTAGTATGACTTTTAAAAATATGAAATTATTAGAAAATGTTTATTATAATATTAAAAGTCAGAATATATCATCATTATCATCATCACCATTATCATCATCACCATCATCATCATCACCATCATCATCATTATGATCGGACAGTATTGTTTTGTAAAACAGAGATAATATTTCTCAATTTTCCTCAGATTGTTCAACGAAATCGAATATTCTACAAGAATATATATGTATATATATACATATATATTTCTAATGATATCGGAACACATTCGATGAATGAAATTTTTAGTGAGAAAATTACCATCGGGTTAAAAAGTAGTTTAAACTATCTTATAATATCAAAAGAGCAAAGGCAAAAAAAAAAAAGAAAAAACAACAAAGAAGAAGAAAAGAAACTGATGAAAAAAAAAAGCTAAGTAACTAAGTCTACA